GAAGTCTGGAATCAAGGTGTCAGCGGGGCCAGGCTCCACCTGAAGGCTCTCAGGGAGGATCCTGCCTTGTCTCTTCTGGCTTCTGGTGGCCTCAGGTGTCCTTGGCCTGTGGCTGCATTCCTCCCCCCTGCACCTCTGTCTTCACACATGTGTCTTCCCTCTGTGTCTGTGCCTAAATTCCCCTCTTCTTATAAAGACCCTGGTCATTAGATTAGGGCTACTTTAGTCTGACCTCATTTAAACTTGATTACATCTGCAAAGACCTTATTTCCAAATGACGTCACGCTCACAGGTCCAGGCAGATGTGAATTTGGCGGGGGGATGCTATTCACCTCAGTATAGATGGAAAGACCTTGGGGGCTTCTGAGAGGGGAGGCCCAGGAGCGGACAGAAGTCAAGTTCTCCATGCATCCCTCGGCCTGCTACGTTGGGAGAGAGCACGCAGGGTGAGGGCGGGCTCACGGGGACACACAGCACAGCGGGGATACCACAGCATGGCCCAGGCGAGAAGACGGCGGCCTGGACCAGGCAGAGGCAGTGCAGGTGGAGAGAAGCAGCTGGCCTTGGACTTCCCTTTGCAGGTGAGCCACTATAAGGCGACCCAGCGTTTGGGTGTGAGATGCGAGAAAATGAGGCCTCAAGGGTGACCTCTGGGTTTTAGCCAGAGACACCAGAACAGCGGAGTTGCCATCAGTGCCAAGGGCCGACTAGTTACCGGACACAGTTCCAGGCAGAGCGATGTGGACGGAGGAAGCGGTCCTCCAGTGGAGCGTGGACCTAAATACAGAGCTCGCCCCGCCCCGCCCCACGCCCATCAGCCCTCCTGTGAGTCCAGGAGAAAGGCCACCAGGGCCTGTGTATGCTGGCCTCAATCCAGTCACTCCCGACGCCCCTGCTCCAGGGGCCCTGCGCTCCACTCACACCCGTCTCTCTGTGTACCCACTGCCTGTCAACGCGGGGGCCACAAGTCTTGGGCCCTCCCGCGTTGACATGGGGCCCTCCCGGCAACTGGGCCCTCCTACGGAGGACTGGGCTGGCCCTTCCCGGCGGGGCCGGGGGGGGGAGCTGCACAGGGCAGGACAGGTCCCTCGGGTGGGACTCTTGTGGCTTTCGGTGACTGCGTCTCTGGCTGGGCTGACCAGCTGGGCTCAGTGAATCCTGTGGGCACAACCTCAAGCCTGGAACCCGCTGCTGTTTCGTCGGGGCCAAGGGCGGTTCACGCTCATGAAAAAGGGTCTTGCTGCCCAGGCTGAAGGCACTCGCCAGCCGCCACGCCACAGGGTCACTTCCCAAGCTCGCCACAAAGCAGGCTAGAGAGCCACAGTCCACAGTCCTAATCTGAGCTCTGAGATGTCTGTGGACCTCTCCCTTCTGCTGGGAATTCAAAGGACTTGGTCCAACATCTGGGCGAAAAGGAGGCTGGCCCAAATTCCCGGCAACTGCCTGGTCTGAGCAGCAGAAGACGTGGCTGTGAACTGCTGAGGAATTTCTCGGGCGAGGGGTAGAGCCCTCAGAGCCTCGGTTTTCCTGTCTGTAAAATGGGATCTCGCTCCCACGTGTGCTGGGCGGGGATGGCTCTGTGACTTTCAGGCTCTGCCCTGTGGAGAAGCCTGGTCCGGGAAGATCCCACATGCCGTGGAGCAACTAAGCCCGTGCGCCACAACTATTGAGCCTGCGCTCTAGAGCCCATGCTCTGCAACAAGGGAAGCCACTGCAATGAGAAGCCCGCGCACCGCAAAGAAGAGTAGCGCCCTCTCACGGCGACTAGAGAAAGCCCACGCGCAGCAGTGAAGACCCAATGCAGCCAAAAATAAATAAAAATTAAATATATATATATATATATATATATATCTTGAAGTAACGGATGTGCAAAACCCACTGACCAGCACTGCAGGATCTCGTGGGTCTGATGTCCAGTCTAGGGCTCCTTGGGTTGTGGTCTGAGGGAGCTGGGGCACAGCTGGGGCCCGGCTCTGCCCACCTCCCTTTCCAGCCCTTGGAGAGCTGTGCTCCTCTTACCTCAGTCATGTGATGCTGGGTGAGCTGCCAATCACAGGGCCCCACCCCGAGTGGACATGTGATTCAGGCCTGGCCAATCATAGAACTCCTCCCCCCCAAGTGATAAGTCCACGGCTTAGCTATGTGACTAAGGCTGGCCAATAAAGGCCCTTCCCTGGAGCACCTATATTCTGAAACAGGAAGAGAGATGCTCTCCCTTCTCTTTTTGCATCAGGCTGGAGGACCTAAGCCCGAGGATACCAGCACTGTGTTTCCCACTGCTGGGAGAAAACCTGTTTACTCTCAGAGAAAAAGAGGTCCCCATAGAGCCCCCAAGGTGGGGAGAGATGGAGACAGCATGAGACGTCACGGCACTGAAGTGCCTGGTTACAGCCTTCACGGCTCCCAGAGTGGCCTCTGATTGGGAGCCTCTTCTGGTTTGAGTTTCTGTCACTGACAAATACAGGAGTCCTGTCCGATCCACAACCAACGGGGAAGGTCAAGAAGGCTCGCTCGGCAGCAAAGTTCCCAGAGGGGACCTTTAAGCTTCTCGAGGCTACGTGTAACTAAGAACTTTGCTTTTTATTTACTTATTTATTTAGTGGCGTCCTTTCCTTGAGAAACCAAATACAGTTTGCACCACGCAGACAGCACTTGAGACCGGTTTAAGGGATGGAGAGAGGGGAGGCAGGAGGAACAGGCGTGGGGCTGGTCCAGTTTTAAAGGGACCTGACAACTGGCCAAGAGCTAGGCATGCTCCAACCCTCTTTTTATTTATTTTATTTATTTTTATTATTATTATTATTTTTTTGCGGTATGCGGGCCTCTCACTATTGTGGCCTCTCCCGCTGCGGAGCACAGGCTCCGGACGTGCAGGCTCAGCGGCCATGGCTCACAGGCCCAGCCGCTCCGCGGCATGTGGGATCTTCCCGGACCGGGGCACAAACCCACGTCCCCTGCATCGGTAGGTGGACTCCCAACCACTGCACCACCAGGGAATCCCGCTCCAACCCTCTTGATGGCAGGAAGACCCCGACGGTTGAGGTGCTCCTCTGAAATCACACACAGGGCATTTCAAGCAGGACCTGACCCAGAACCAGCTCTCTTAACTCCAGAGCCCATGTCACCAGACTTCTGAATTTCACAGAAATTCAGAAAACTCTTTTTTTCAAAAATTAATTAATTTATTTATTTTTGGCTGCGTTGGGTCTTCATTGCTGCACGTGGGCTCTCTCTAGTTATGGCGAGCGGGGGCTACTCTTCTTTGTGGTGCGCGGCCTTCTCATTGCAGTGCCTTCTCTTGTTGTGGAGCACGGGCTCTAGGCGCACGGGCTTCAGTAGTTGTGGCACGTGGGCCCAGTAGTTGTGGCTCGCAGGCTCAGTAGTTGTGGCACACGGGCTTAGTTGCTCTGCGGCATGTGGGATCTTCCCAGACCAGGGCTCGAGCCCATGTTCCCTGCATTGGCACACGGATTCTTAACCACTGCGCCACCAGGGAAGTCCCAGAAAAGTCTTTTGAGAACTAACAAAGGATCAGTAAAGTTCAACGGCCATCTCTGGCTAGCATCCCTTCGTAAAACGATTACCCCCAACAACGGAGGAAGGACATAAGCTGTGAGCAAAGGCCAGGCCTCGCGTTTGGATATGTTCAGTTTGGAGGGACACTAGGTGGTTTCCTCAAAGCAATGACTACTGGGAAATGGGCAAGAGCAGGCAGTGGGTGTGCAAGTGTCCTGGGGCCGCCGTAACAAAGCGCCACAAACTAGGGGCTCTTAAAACAGCAGAAACGTATAGTGCTGGAGCCCTGAAGTCTACAATCAAGCTGTCAGCAGGGCCGAGCTCTCTCTGAGGGCTCTAGGGACGATTCCGTGGCTTACAGAAGAAGCACTCCAATCTCTGCTTTCATTTACACATGGCTTTCTCCCTGTGTGTCTGTGTCTAAATTCCCCTCTTCTTATAAGGACACCAGGCATTACATTAGGGCCACCCTAATCCAGTATGAACCCATCTTAACTTGATGACATCTGCAAAGACCCTATTTCTAAATATAAGGTCACACTCACAGATTCTGGGGGTTAGGACTCGAACAGATCTTTCCAAGGGATACAACTCAAGCGGGCTGAGCGGGCCAGCATTATGGGGCACCCCACCCCCAAGGTCCTTCCCACGCTGATAGCAAAGTGTGAGAAAGGCGGATCTGAGGCACGATGCCCTCCCAGATTAGGGAGAAGGCTTGGACTGCCAGGGACAGCTGGGGACCCCTGGGCTGTCCCACCTTCCCTCACGTTTCCCTTCCAGGGAGTAACTGTCTGGAGGTCAGCCAGGTGCCCACTGGCAAAGGCAGGCCAGGACACAGACCTTAGCTCCCGGCCAGGGCTAGACCACAACCTGGGGACCTTCCTGGGGAAGAAGGCCAGGAAAAGCCTCAGCCCCAGGCCAGGAGACCGGCCCCGCCGAGGGGACAGATTCACAGCAGAGGGAAATTCACACTTCGGCCTTTTGGAGGGCAGGAGGGCTTGACTTTGCTGTGAGGGCCCCTGTGTGCCCTCCCAGGACGCAGGTAGAGACACAGCAGCAGCCACCAGCCTGGCCGGACCTCAGTCCTCTGGACGGGGACCAGAGTTTGCTCACAGGCTCCCTGGTGACTGAGACTGCAGGGGGACTTGAGTCAACCGAAACTACACGCTTCCCAGAGAGGGGCGGTAACCAGCCTGAGGTCACACAGCAATCATTCAGAGCCAACGTGAGAGACGTGTCTCCCAGTTCTGCCCGTGAGAGCCTTTTACCCACCACGATGGCCTCTATCAGGGGAGGCTGTTGCCCTTGGGAACCAGGGCTGACCTTGTAATGGTTTTATAGAGCAGTCAGGAAGAAAATATCACCCACTTCCCAGCCAGACCTGCTGGACACCCGATGTTCGGGAGAAGGAAAGAGAGAAGGAACACTGACTGGACACCTACTGTGCACCACACGCTTCGAGCTCACATTCCTGCCCATCTTACCTGTGAGCAGCGCGAGGCCCAGGGCGGCTGGAGTCGGCCAAGGGTTCCCGTTCCCTCTCGGGATGTCAGTTCACCTCGCTGAGCCTCAGTTTACTCACACCTGTAAGATGGGATCACAAGCTCAGCGTCACAGGTGGTCACTAGGATTAGGGATCCCATCCCAGGAATGGGCACACAGTAGGTGCTCAAGAAAGGCGACGTTCGCTAATTATTAGAGAAGCGCAAAGCAAAACTGCAATTATGTCTCACACCAGTCAGAATGGCCACCATTAGAAAGTCTACAAATAACAAATACTGGAGGGGATGTGGAGAAAAGGGAACCCTCCCACACTGTTGGTGGGAATGTAAGTTGGTGCAGCCACTATGGAGAACAGTATGGAGGTTCCTTAAAAAACTAAAAGCAGAGTTGGCATATGATCCCATACTCCCACTCCTGGGCATATATCCAGAGAGAACTATAACTCAAAAAGATACCTGCACCCCAACGTTCATAGCAGCACTATTTACAATAGCCAAGACGTGGAAGCAACCTAAGTACCCATCAGCAGATGAATGGATAAAGAAGATGTGGTACGTATATACGATGGAATACTACTCAGCCATAAAAAGTAATGAAATAATGCCATCTGCAGCAACAGGGATGGACCTGGAGATTATCATACTAAGTGAGGTAAGTCAGACAGAGAAAGACAAATACCATATGATATCACTTATCTGTGGAATCTAAAATATGACACAAATGAACTCATCTACAAAACAGAAACAGACTTGTGGCTGCCAAGGGGGTGCGGAGGGACAGAGTGGGAGTTTGGGGATTAGCAGATGCAAACTATTATACAGAGAATGGATAAACAACAAGGTCCTACTCTAAAGCACAGGGAACTACATTCAATATCCTGTGATAAACCATATGGAAAAGACTATGAAAAAGAATATATGTAGGGCTTCCCCGGGGGCGCAGTGGTTGAGAGTCCGCCTGCCGATGCAGGGGACACGGGTTCGTGCCCCGGTCCGGGAGGATCCCACGTGCCGCGGAGCGGCTGGGCCCGTGAGCCATGGCCGCTGGGCCTGCGCATCCGGAGCCTGTGCTCCGCAACGGGAGAGGCCACAGCAGTGAGAGGTCCGTGTACCGCAAAAAAAAAAAAAGAATATATGTAGATGTATAACTGAACCACTTTTCTGTACGGTAGAAAATAACACAACATTGTAAATCAACTCTACGTTAATCAATTTAAATAAAAAGAAGAAAGGTGATGTTTTCTATCGCTGCTGCAATACATTTCCACAAACTCTGCAGCTTCAACAACACACGCTCAGCATCTTCCATCCGGAGGTCGGAAATTCAACACGGGGCTCACTGGGCTTACACCGAGGTATCAGTGATGCTGCCTGAGGTTCTAGGGGGCAAGCTATTCGTCGCCCTTTCAGCTTCTAGCAGCGGCCCCTGGTCCTTGGCTCACGGCCCCCTTGTCCGTCTTCAAAGCCAGCGACACTGCATCTCTGAACCTCCTCCACTGCCTCCTCTTTCTCTGACCACAGCTGGGAAAGCGTCTCTGATTTCAAGGACTCATGTGATTCCACTGGACCCACCCGGATCACCCAGGATCATCGCCCCGTCACAAGGTCCTCAACTCAAGCACGCCTGCAAAGTGCCTTCTGCCACGTCAGGTCACGTCCACAGCGACTCCGGGGATTAGGCTGCGGTGGGGGCAGGCAGCGGGCGTTACTCTGCCGACCACAGGTGAGCTGAATTTCATAACGCGAGGGGCGCCTGGGCTGGTCTCGGCAGTTCTTTTTGGAAGAAGAGGATTCCACTAAAACCAGCTCCCTGGAGGGCCGTTTCCCATCCCTGCTGTTTTTGACTCTTTTCAAAGAGGCTCTGTCTAGCCAAGGAGACAGGGTCAGGGCTGCCAAACCTTTGCTTCAAAATAAACCCTACTCGGAAATTTCCACGGGACCAGGCCCTTTTCTCCCCCCTCCCCCCAGAGACCTGCCTGAAATCCCAAACCAAGCGGGACGTCTTATAGCAAGACCATCAGACCCCAAGCTCTCCCGAGAAGGAGGTTTTTGTTGCGGTTTGGGTGTTCTTTTCTCTGTTTGTGTTCCCCTGTCCAACTAGACAGCACTGGGCATACTGTTACGCAGGCAGTGAACTGGTTCAGGACATCACCCTCGACTCAGGAAAGGGTTTTACGGTTGTCATCCTCAAAAGGACCTAATCTGTCCCCCCACCCAGCTTACATTCCCCAGGGTCCCTCCCCGTTGCCTTCAAAGAGCGCTCAGCTATTTCACAAGCTCCGCACATTCACAGCGAGCGTATCTTATGCCGACAGTGAGGCGAGCACGTAAATCCCACTTGCCTAACACCCAGCATCTTCCGATTTTATTTGATTCACCCGGGAAGTCACTATTTACCATGGGCTCAGCATCAGATGTTTTGCACGGGAAGGCGTGCACTTGTTTTGGATTTCAAGCAGGTTCACAGGGACAGACGTCATCTCATGAATTCCCCCAGCAGTGTCCTCACGTTCCTGGTGAGCAGAAAGGGTGGGACGGCGAGGGGCCTGGGTTACGGTCACTCAGCCCGTAAGCGGCAGGGCTGGGTTTGAAGCCGGGTCCCCTGGCTTTAAAGCATCCCAATTTACTGCGGCCGCACTCATCCTCTCTTGTGATACCGTGACAGAAAAAGAATGTATATTTGGTCCTAAAACCTGTGTACTTTGCTGATGGGGAGACAGGGGTGTCCTTGGTTATCCGTAACAAGCCCCTCTCCACCACACCTGAGTTCATGCTAACGAGGTGATTCTTGGCGGCTCCCAGAGAGCGTCAGCACGGGGGCCAGGTGCCGGAGGCACCAATCCTGTGATTAGAGTATTGGAACTTGCAGCTCCATCCCCGACCTCCAGGGAGGCACGTGGGGCATCCCCAGCGGCAAATGAGGTTATCGGCCATGCTTACATAATGGAACCTCCATGAAAACGCTTCTGGGTTGGTGAACACACCCACGTGTCGAGAGGGTGTGCACCCCAAACTCCACGGGGACAGAAGCTCCCACACTTGGGACCCTTCCAGACCTCTCACTACGTACCTCTTCGTCTTGTTATTCATCTGTATCCTTTACAATAGATGTAAAGGATTTACAATAAAAGTAAATGTAAGGAAAGTATTTCCCTGAGTTCTATGAACCATTATAGCAAATTATTGAACCTGAGGCGGGGGCTGTGGGATTCCCTGATTTGTTGCCAAGTCAGAAGGAAGGGTGGGTGAGCTGGGGACCCACCACTTGCGACTGGCATCTGAAGTGGGGGCAGTCTTGCGGGACTGAGCCCTTAACCGTGGGGTCTGCTCTCACTCTGGGTGGTTAGTATCAGAATCGAATTAAGTTGTAGGACACCCAGCTGGCGTCCACAGAGAACTGGAGAATTGCTTGGTGGAGAAAACCTACGTGTTTGGCGTCAGAAGTCTTAGGAGCAAAAAACAGATCTTAGTAGTAACTATATTCATTCATGTATCAATTCATTCCATGTTTAGCAAGTTCGTTAAGTCAACTTTGCACTGCAGTAAGTGACGAGCAAAACAGGCACATCCCTACCCTTCCAAACGCGCTGACAAGGGAAGAACCACCTCCAGATCAGTGTCTCTCCACCCGCTACGCCCAGGACTGTGTAACTTATCAACAGAAACAGCAGAGAGTCTGATTCAGTTGGTGTGTAGTGGGGCCATCACACCGGTAATTAAAATTTTTCTTTTAAATTTAGTTACGCAGTGGGCTGAATAAGGGCCCCCAAACATAGCAGGTCCGAATCCCTGGGACCTATCAATGTTACCTTATATGGCAAAGACTCTGCAGATGTAACTAAGGATCCTGAGATGGAGAAATTATCCTGGAGTATCTGGTGGGTTGAGATGCAATCACACGTATCCTTATGAGGGAGGCAGAGGGAGATTACACAACCACAGAGGACAAGGCAGTGTGACAGCAGAAGCCAGGAGAGCAACCAGAAGCTGGAGGAGATAAAGAAGGTCCCTCCCCTAGAGCCTCCAGAGAGAGGACAGCCCTGCGACACCTGATTTCACACTTCTGGCTTCTGGAACTCTGAGAGAATACATTCCTGTTTCTTTAAATCACCAAGTTTTGGTAATGTATTACAGCTGTCACAGGAGGCGAATACAAGGCGTAACAGTGCAAATCTCAAGTGCACGGCACGATGAATCGTTATATGCGCACACCACGTGTCACCATGGAGACCAAGACAGAACATTCCCAGCGTCCCAGGTTTCTGGTCACTACCCTCCCTGGAAGTATCCACTCTCCCCACCTCTATCACGATAGACTGGCTTTGCCTGTTCCTGAGCCCCATATACGAGGGATCACACGACATGTACTCTTGTGGGAGGCCTCCTTTGCTCAACTTCATAGCAGTGCAATTCATGCCTGTTTTGGGTTTTTTTGGTCTTTCTTGGTGAGTATTATTCCACTATATGAATATATACGATTTGTTCATCTAGTCTCCTATGGATGGACATCTGGGCTGTTCCCAGCCATCAGCTATTAATAATACACCCACAGGAACATAGTCCTACAGTCTTTCGTAGACGTGCCTCATTTATCTCAGGCCCACACCTAGGAGTGGACGTGCGGGGTCTGGAATGGTCATTGTCTGTAGCTTCCAGGTGATTCAAATGTGCAATGAGGTGTGAGAACCACTCTCCAGGCCAATGGCTCTCAACTGGCAACGGTTTTGCCCCCCAGGGGACAGCTGGCAAGCTCTGGAGACACTTTTGGTTGTCACAACTCAGAGCTGTGCTAAGAGTGTCTTGGGGAGAGAGGTCGGGGCTGCTGGTTAACGTCCTGCAGCACACGGGGCACCCCCCTACCCAGCGCGCACGCGCACACACACACACACACACAGAGGAATTAGCCAGCTCCCATGGTGGGACCTGAGGGTGGGAAACTCGACCGTAGCCAGAACGCGCGACCCCACACGTGAATAACCCACCTGCACGTAAGCTGCAGCTCATAGGGCCCGGCCCCGCTTGGAGGGGCGGGACCGGCTGACGGTGGTGAGGCGCCGAGGCCTGGCTGCCCTGGGTGAGCCCTGGAGACACGGCAGGCTGCCCCGTCGAGAATGGGGAGCTGCCCTCAGCTGTGGGCCTTTCGCTGAAGCTCCGAGGCATCTTCCTGCCCCACGGGTGCCAGTGTGGACTTCTGACATCATGCCTCGCTCAGGCCTCTCTTCCTGCGTCTGCTGACTCCAGGGACACAGAAAGCCCCAGAGGCCGGGGACCATGACTTAGCCAGTCCTCCGATTCTGTGCAGCGAGCACTGAAGTGAGGTTGCCGCGTGGGACACGGGACATGGGAACAAAGTTCCAAAGGGCAGCCTTCCCCCCAGCTCTGTCTACAGGGGGACGTTTAACGGCGTCGCACAGGCAAGCTCACGGGGTCCGCGTGTGACGGAGACCGTCTGGCCGCTCACCACCCCACACCCCAATCGCTTCCTCTTCCTCCAGGGCACACAGCCGGACTGGTATTTCCCAGCGTCCCTTGCCGTCAGGCGAGGTCACGTGACTGAATTCTGGCCAATGGGATTCACGTGGAAGTCATGTGCTTCTCTAAAAACCTCCCACACCTGCTCCTTCCTGCCCTGTCCCTTCCCACCAGCTGGAAGCAAAGGGCTCCTGGGGGCTGGCAGACTTCTCTGCCTTCAGTTGCTAAATTGCCTTGTGGAAAAGCCCTTAACACCTGCTCTCCATTATCGAGAGGAAAACAAACTTCAATTGCATTTAAAGTCATTGAAATGTGGAGACTTGCTTGTTGGGGCAGCTAGCATACCCTTAACTAGTAAACTATATTTCTGCCAACTGGCGGGAGGCGGGGGTTGAGTTTCAGCTCCACTCCTCTCCGCAAAAAGCACTTAAAATGCAGAATGAGGAAGAGGATGCTGAGTTTGCAGAAAAAGCACAGCTGCCGAGGAGACCACTGAATAACGCGTAACTCGGGAGCTGGGAGAGCTGAGCACGGGGCGGGCGTTTCTCAAGCTGTGCAGTGGGGTTGTTGAAATTTACGGATGAGCAAAAACGAGTGATCGTTCTTTGCTCTCCTTTAAAATATATGTGCATAATATTTATTTTATTAATGTACACATTCATATTTAAAATCACGTTAGAGGCTTCCTTAGGAATACAGCCATTTTCTACTCTCACGTTTCATGGACTCATTCTGTTCAAACTGTCCTTGGGTTTTCACAGCAGGGCTTTGTCATCTCTTAGAGCCACAATGCTGTTCTTTTGCTCGCATTACGATATCTGAGTTGGGGGACTCTCTGAATCCAGATGTTACTTTGACCGCTCCCCAGCTTCACTGTTCCGTGATCCTCCATCAGGGTCCCTGTGGTCCTTCCAGTGGTGACCCCCTCCCCCCAGGAGCTCACCAACCTGCCCCCACAGCCCCATTCCACATTCCCCACTGGGGCACACGGAACTTCTCAAACCCCCGCATGCCACTCCCAAGCCATGGGAAGCAGGGGGTCTTCTCTCGGGCCCCAGTCTCCACCGTTTCTATTCTATCATTCGGGGCCATTTGGGAAGTGGTGCTGGGCTGTGGGGTCCTGGGCCTCTTTGCCTTCAAATCCCCTCCTGGTCCTTTCCTTCCTCTGTCCAGTTTCTCAGCCATTCCATCACCTGCATCATCAATTCCCTGCATTCAGTACCCTCCACTGAAATGCCCAGGAGGCTGTCTGCTTCCTGGGCTGGACCTTGACTGCTGCGTGGGCCCACAATGAGGCTCTCTGCCATGGGCCACCTTTCCAGGCCCACCGGGGAGCGGGGAAAGGCTGCATGGGGCCTCCGTCTCCCCAGCAGAGGGCTGCAGCCAGTCTCTGTCTCTCCCACTGGCCCTGCCCCCCAGCTCTTCCTCTCCATGTGCTTTTCTCTTCCCTCAGCTGCCTCTTGCAACCTCCCGGCCCTGATTCACACCGAGGTCAGTCCTCCTGCGTGACTCTTCATGGGACACGGCTCAGCAATGGGAATTCCAGGAATATTTACTCATGCTTGAAAGCCCGGCTTTCAAGACCACTGTCTCACCAAGGATTAGAAAGAAAACTCAATTATTTTCCTGCTCAAAGCTGTATGTTTATACCTTTGTAGTCATTCTCCTCCGCCCTGAGCAACAAGCCACATTTCGTGGCCCTGTTGTGATAGCAGAAGGGGTGCTGATAGGGGCACCCCCGAAAAAATTACTGGGCTATTTCCAAATCTTCTTCCCCTACAGGAGTAAAGCCAGTAGCCGGCAAGGAACAGAGCATGTTCACGGGAGGACAACTTTTGTAGAAATTGGTGGATCCGTGGTTGCTGCCCTGTGCCTGCTCCTCTGCAAGGGCAGGTACTGGCGACTGGGAAGGGAAACTGGGTTCCAGGGCCAGAGGGAGACTTGAGTGCACTTTGGAACGGTCACACTTTCCGAAAATGAAGGAGGAAAAACATCTCCTCTCCCTCTCCACAAAGTTCATTTGGCTCAATCGCCCTGTCTGAAAATAAAGAAGAAAAGCAGCTGATAAACGTCTCCTGCTCGAGGCTGTCCTTTGAGGAAGAACCCAAGCCATGACTCATCACTCGCCTGTGATAAGCATTTGCAGTTTCAGGCAGAAACAGGCCACAAGCATGCAAGGGAGGGTGGGGGCAGCGGCCACGGAATCCCCTGCTTCTGGCTGGTTGGCGTTTATCTGCCTTTGGTAATACGGGGGGATTTGAGTGGCCATCATTCCATCGGCCCTCGTTTGGGGAGGGGGGGGTGTCTGTCCGAACACTCACAAGCACACACCCATGTGAGGTCTGAGATTACCCAGGATGCGAACGGGAAGGTAATCAGGGTCCCTCCCGTCCTGTCTGAAGTCAGACCCAGACCAGGCACCCGCTGGAGAAAACGCAGGCCAGCCAGACCTTTCGCTGTCTGGGTCTGCTCCACGCAGCCCTGGCATGTCCGTCTGGTGTCTCCTGGACAGCGTGGCTTGGTGGCATGCCATTTGGGAGGCTGGCCCCTGGGAGCTGTGTCCACCAGCATTAACGGGGCGGGCAGTCTCAGAAGGATTGCATCTCCACAGCCTGCGGGCAAGGGCTTAGACACAAGCTCAGGACAAGCCCTGGCCGAGAGCGCTGCGGACGCCAGTCCTCACACAACCACCAGAGGGCGCTGTCCAGCTCCAACCCCCGACCGCACTCCCCTTCTGAAAACCTTCCGTGGCTCCCCATGGCTCTTAGGATACAGGCCAGCTTCATAAACCCGCTTACAAGGCCGTGAATGATCCGGCCGCTGACCTTTCCAACTTCATCTCCATCTCCATGCTCTGTGCTCCAGCAGTGATGGCTTGCTTCCAGTTTCTGGAGAGGACACTTCCTGCATCCACAGGGCTTTTGCCATCACTCTGCCCACTTCTCAGAGGCTCTCCCATTCATCTCAACCTACAGAACCCTAGTCAACATCTTTTAGGTTTTATCATAAGCATCAGCTCAGCCGCAGAGGGAGGTCTTCCAACGCCCCCAATGAGGTTACGTGGCCGTGTTTGGTGCCCTGGTGTCTTGCGCTTCTTGGTAGCCCTTGCCATGGATGCAATTAAATCATTAATTCTGTCGTGGTTCGTTCACTGTCTCCCCAGCTAGACCGTCACTGCGTGAGTTACGGTGTTCCCTGCGGACCCTCAGGCCCACATAACGCCCATATTGCAGTGATAGTAGACGTTAGTGCAGGTCTCCGAATATCTCTGGACCTCATTCTTCCGGGCACCTGGTAGGATTGCGTTTTCCGCCCCCTTGTGGTGGGGACACGTCACTGCCTAGGTGAGAGCCTTTAATCGCCAATGTGACCCCTGCCACAAAGTTGAGATGGCGGCTGCTCCTTTAGCTGGGGTCCCTCAGTCCCTATGACGATGAGAACTCCCCTGCCCCCTGTGAGGAACATGGAGAAGGACCACTCCTGCCATCTGTCACCTGTGACCCACCATCTGCTCGTCACATAGAAATATCTCAAACACACACACATACCCCCTCGACACACTCAGAAACACACAGACACACGAGCATGGACATTCCTACCACCTAGCATAGTGCCCGGCACGCAGTCGGTGCTCAACATGTACCTATTTAGTAAAAGAATAAATCATTAAATGAATAAATAACTAAATCAATTAAGTGCTCACTGTGCGATAGGTGCTGGAGGAAACTCCCAAACACACAGTGTCTGGGGTCAGCGTCCCCACATCACACCCCCGAGGTGAGGCTTTGCGCGCAAGTGCTCCTGGGATGGCGGCCTGGGAGTCGGACGGGACAGGTGCGACTTCAGGCCCAGTCCCGGCCTCAGCCTGATGCAACGTGCAGGAATCCCGCGTGATACACACGGAAATGCTGCAGGAGGGAAAAACATCTTAACGAGCTTGCCCTGAATAGGAAAGGCGAAGGGGAGGGGAATTACCCGGCCGCCTCTGCCAGAATCAGCCAGGGCCCCAGGGGCCTCAGTTTCCCCCTTTATAAGTGCACGATGGGCTGCTGTGAGCCTCAAGCAGGGGGCTCCTACTGTCAGCTGTGACCATCACTCCGCTCGGGCACCCGAGGCTGCCCTGGTACAACTTCCTTCCGGTTGGCGTGGGGGCCTGTCCGCAGCATGAAATTCACCACATACCCTTCTGACTGAGGCAAGGTGGCATGAAAGCATGATCGAGACCAAGTACCAGTTTCTGGCCAAGCCCATCCTCTGTTCCTGCCCCGCCGGCCCCACCCAGGATCTGCCCTGCGGCCCAGCCTCACGGCTCTGCCTCTGGTAAATGAGAGGCGAGGGCCAGCAGCGGGCAGGAAATGGCTTACAGATGGTAGGTGGGCCAAAGGCAGCTAAAACTGAGCCAGATGGGGGGTCATTTAAAGGCTCGGTACGTTGAAAGCCCTGAGCTGGCCTGGCCCAGCCCAGCCACAGCTGAACAAGCAACAGGCAGGCCGGAAACACTGGGCCTTTTCAGGCTGCACAACGGTCTTTTTAAGTGGAAATGTCAATCGGCTTTGAGAAGACGACTCAGCCCTCGGAGAGAGGCCGGGGCTTTCCCTGACCAACGGCCTCGGCTCACACGAGCTGACCCAACGGGGAGACCCGCTCCTACGTGGCATTAGGAACTCGGGGGGCCTTGAGGAGACCCCCAAATGGAGTGCAAGAGGCTTTGGCCTAGGAGGAGATGCGATTCCTTCCTTCTCTCCCTGCCCATGAGCCAGTGAATGGATAAACCAAGGGTGGGCTGTCCTGATGGTGGGATATGATTAGGTCATAAAAGAGAAGGAAGCACTGACACAGCTACGACATGAATGAACCTCGAAAACCTTATGCCAAGCGAGAGAAGCCAGACACCATCGGTCACAGAGCGTGTGACTCCATTTACACGGGACATCCAGAAGGGATAAACCCATAGACGCAGCAAGTAGGCTGTTGGCTGCCAGGAGCTGGGGGAGACGGAAAGAGGGAGAAACTGGCTAACTGGTGTGGGCTTTTCCTCCGGGGTGAGGGGAAGGCTTTGGAACCGGATGGAGGTGGTGCTTTACAACACTGTGAACGTGCTGA